ACTTAACCTCTGAGCCATCTCTCCAGTCTGCAAACAAAATCTTTTAATGTTATAATATTTATAAAAATCAACTATATGAGCCGGGCGTTGGTGGCGCACGCCTTTAATCCCAGCACTTGGGAGGCAGTGGCGGCGGATCTCTGTGAGTTGGAGGCCAGCCTGGTCTACAAGAGCCAGTTCCAGGACAGCCTCCAAAGCCACAGAGAAACCCTGTCTCGAAAAACCAAAAAAAAAAATCAACTATATGAGGCAAGATCCTCTGAATAGATGGGGAACACGGCGAGGGGTGGGGGGGAGGGGAAGCTGGGAAATAGAGAGGGGGAGAAGAGGAAGAGAGAGTAGGTCATGGAGGAACAGGAAGGTTGAGTGGGGGGGTAGAATAGGGGGAAGAGGGAATCATAAGTTAGAAGACAGATCAGACACCATTGTGACCTCTAGTGATCTAAACGGATGACACCAATTGGCAAGCTAAGCAATAGTGTAGAGACCACCTCGAATGACCATTCCTGATAATGAACTTGATGTCTATAACCATCCAGGAGCCTTCATCCAGTGACTGATGGAAGCAGAGGCAAACACCCACAGTTAAACACTGAACTGAACCCAAGGAACCCAGCAATAGAGAGAGAGGTGCGATGAGCAAATTGGCAAAGAATGGGCTGGCAAAACCAGCAGAGGATCTGAACAGGGAAGAGCTCTTGGACCCCAGACCGACAGCGTCTCCGCCAGCATGGGACTGATCCAGACCCCCTGAATGTGAGAGTCAGTGAGGACTGGGCAACCTATGGGGTCCTGAGCAGTGGATCAGTGTTTATCCCTGGAATACAAACAGACATCGTGTTTCCATAACACAAAGAGGGATGCTCCCTCAGCCTGGACTCTTAGGGGAATACCTGGACCCTACCCTGAGTGAAATGACAGACTCTAGATATTCCCTATGTGGAAGGAATTGGCGATAGGGTGGGAGGATGGGGGGGGATAGTGGGGGGTGCGGGAGGAGGGGAGGGAGAGGTAACTGGGATTGACATGTAAAACAAGCTATTTAAAATTAAAATAATAAAAAAATCAACTATATCGGGAAGTAGGTACAATTAAGTCTGTATAACTTAGACCTCCAATATACTGATTTCTCCCAAGTTCTAGGTATGAATTAGATAGTAATCCTTAGCCTATACTAGTATCCCACAATCTGATTAAAGTATCACACATTTCCATCAATTCTCTTGAAATTAACAGTTGAGCCGGGCGGTGGTGTCGCACGCCTTTAATCCCAGCACTCGGGAGGCAGAGGCAGGCAGATCTCTGTGAGTTCGAGGCTGGGCTGGACCGATAGCCTCCAAAACAATACAGAGAAACCCTGTCTCGTAAAAACCACAAAAAAAAAAAAAAAAAGAAATTAACAGTTGACTGTGAAGCCTTCTATTTTTTCAATAATTTTCTTTTTTAGATTTATTGGGGGTGGGGTGCTTGTGAAAGACCCCTACCCAGGACCCCCTAGGAAAAGAAAAGCAAGGCCAGGCCGTTGCCTAATGAAAGAAACCCAGACCAGGTGCCTCGCCCAGCTGGCAGGATGTCAAACAGGATCTGTGATCACCAGAGCAGTCATGGGACCCGGATAATAATTGCTGAAGCGTGCCAGGGTCTTTTATGTGGCAATACCAGGACACCTAGTCCTTGGCAACTACCCTTGCCCCCAGTTGTGTCTATGATCACCATAGTAGTCATGGGACCAGGATAATAATTGCTGAAGTATGCCTGGGTCTTTCATAAAGTAATACCAGGAAACTTAGTCCGTGGGAACTACCCCTGGCCCCAAGATGAGCCAATGAAATGCCTGTTACTTATGTAACCATTAAAACTCTATAAGTATTGTGCTCCCTGCAAGCCCGGTATGCTCTGCACCCGAGTTGCACTAGCACCGCAGGCGCCGGTGTACTCAATAAATCACCTCTTGCATTTGCAGCCAGTGGTCTGGCCCCGGTTCTTGGGCAGAGGGTTCGGTTCAGTGCCTGGCGCTTTGATGCCGAGGTCTGTCACTTGAAGGAGTCAGTTCTCTGCTTCCACCCTGTGGAACTCAGGTCATCGAGCTTGGTGGCATGTGCCCTTACCTGCTGAGCCACCTGACCTAGCTCCAATAATTTAAAACACTTAATTTTTGGAAAAATCTATTTCAGCCATAATGTCTTTAAGAAGCAATGGCAATGCTTAGGAAATCAAACAAACATTGTACGGGAAGAATTCACTACAAACTTTACTTCTAAAACCATTTTTAAAAAAAAACCTCAAGCCAGGTCTTTAATCCCAGCACTGGGAGACAGAGGCAAGCAGATCTCTTTGAGTTCAAGGTCAGCCTGGCTCACATTGTGAGTTCCAAAACACCCAGAACTATATATCAAGATCCTGTCTCAAAACAATAACAACAAAAATACAAAATTTTAAAAGCTTAATGAATGTCCCAAATGCTTAGCGATTTATTTTTCTTATTTAAAATTATGTGTATGTGGGTGAGGGTGTGCCTGTGAGTGCAGGTGCCCACACAGGCCAGTGTTAGATGTCCCTGGAACTGGAGTTAGAGTTGGTTGTGTGTCAACTGATGTGGGTGTTAGGAATCAAACCCAGGGAGCAGTAAGGGCTCTTAACCACTAAGTCATCTCTCCAACCCAAGTCTTTTATTTTTTAAAAGTATTGTTGATGTCATGTCCAAAGACAGCCCTGGCTGTCACCAGAACCTAGGCAGCTTTGGGAGATTATCTGTAGAACCTGGACCTCCAGCACTGAGGTTTTATTTGTAGGCAGATTGTTTAAACGAAGGAGTCATTCAGTTGCCAAGAAACAGCATGTTCCCAATAGACTAGTTTGACAGCAAATCTATCTACCAACACTACTACCCCGGAATCTGTCTGAGCCAAGGCTAAGCCTGAGTGATGCTGTGGTCAATTTCCTAAAAAGCTTCTCCCTTTCCAAGGGCGTCGTCACCTGCTCAGAATCATTCTCATAGCTGAGCCGGTTATTTCCTATTCTCCTTCTTCTATTACATTTCTAAGGAGTCTTGGTCACTGAATTTTGCTTTTAGAATCATGGTACTTAAAAGCTGTGACGAAAAGCCAGGTATGGTGGCCCACTTATAATCCCAGTACTCATGGAACTGAGGCAATCAGATTGTGAGGACAAGGGAGAGTCAAAATCAGCCAAGGCTATATTGTAAGAACCTGTCTCAAAAAAAAAAAACATCTAGGAGTCCGTTAGAAATACAAGTTCTTGCCCGTGTGATGGTACACATGCTTGCAGCTGAGGAGAGCCTTGGTTATTAAAAGAAAAAAAAAAAGAATTCTAGGTCTACAGGGACAGTTCAGTGGCTACTCTTCAGGTCCTAGCCCCCACACTGGGCAACTCACAACACCTGAAACTCCAGCTGCAGACCTGACACCCTCTTCTGGTCTCCATGGCATGCACACACACACACACACACACACACACACACACGGTGTCATTCACACAGACACACAAATACACAAAACACATGAACCTTTTCTCTCCCTCGAAAACAGAGGACAGGGTGGTGTATGCCTTAGGAGGCAGAGGCAGGTGGGTCTTTGTGAGCTTGAGGGCAGCCTGAACTCCACAGTGAGTTCAGGATAACCAAAGAGGGACATGTCCCCCCCAAAAATTTTTTTACCAACAGCCAAATCTTTGTTTTTTTGTTCTTTTTGTTTTTTGTTTTTTTGGTTTTGTTTTTTGAGACAGGGTTTCTCTGTATTGTTTTGGAGCCTGTCCTGGAACTCACTCGGTAGACCAGGCTGGTCTCGGACTCACAGTAATCCGCCTGCCTCTGCCTCCCGAGTGCTGGGATTAAAGGCGTGCGCCACCAACGCCCGGCTACCAACAGCCAAATCTTTGAACCATAAAAAAAAAAATACTCTAATTAGTCAGCTTTGGGTCACTAAAATGAACTAATTACCTGCAACAGGCTATTTATGAAGAGAAATTTAGCTTAGTGTTAGAGGTACAGGACAATGACATAGCATCAGCTCCATTTTGGTCAAGGCTAGACCATGTTAACTTAAGAGCTTTCCATTTTCCAGAGGCACCATGCCAACCAAAGCATGAGAGCTTCTACCACCAAACAAAAGTCTGGAACTAGGTCCCATCACACTTCTTTAGAACATATGTCCAACGACCTAAAGATTTCCCATTGTGTCTTATCTTTTTTTGAATGGTTTACTCCCTTTTATGGACATTGGTGTTTGCCTACATGTGTGAGTGTGTGAGTGTCAAGTCTCCAGGAACTGGAGTTACACTTGTGAGCTGCCATGTGAGTGCTAGGAATTGAACCTTTGGAAAACAGCTAGTACTCCTAACTGCTGAGCAATCTCTCCAGCCCCATGTCTCACCTCTTAAAGCTAGAAGTGCTCATCACAAGTACTGTAAGGGTGTGCAAGCCACAGTCAAATAACCACAGTTTACTCTAATTCAAAAACTATGTTGTTATCAACCTCAGAGTCCAACATTTTAGGAGATCTGGTTAGTCCAAAGGACCTGAGACTGATTTTTTTTTTTACCTCAGTATCTTATATTGAAGTTTTTTCCTTTTCCTTATGTTGAAATTTATAAATGTATTTCACATTGTTACACCTATTCAAAATGCATTCTTGTTTTACAAAAAGGGTGCTTTATCCTCATCACATAAAAGCTCCTCACAAGTATTACTTTCCTGTGTTGATCTCAGTGCAAAGGGAGCTATTCTTGTCCCTTCACTTCCCATGGAAATCAGCACCTGATTTCTATTCATCTGATTTGACCCAAACAAAAAAAATTTTTTTGGTTTTTACGAGACAGGGTTTCTCTGTATTGTTTGAGGCTGTTGGTCTAGCCCGGCCTCGAACTCACAGAGATCCGCATGCCTGTACCTCCTGAGTGCTGGGATTAAAGGCACGTGCCACCACCGCCCGGCCAACCCAAACAAAAATTTAACACAGGCACACACATACACATTCCACACGTGCTTTTGAACTCCTATAATGTGATCAGCTTCCATTTGAAACGTTTAACACAAAACCAAGCAGTGGAGTCATTTGGATCAGTGTGTTCATATAGTGCTGGGCTTCTCACTGGGAAGCTGAAAGATGTCCTTGAATGAGATCCTGAACACGGGACAGAATGATCTCATTAGAGCTGCTGCAGTTTTCTGGAGCATATGGTGGGTCAATAGTCAGAACCCCAGCCACACACAGAGTCCTTTGTGCATCTCCCTGTTCGGTGACAGGGATGTGGTTCTTCTCAAGCCATTTCTTTAGGTTATCCTTCCTCTTCTCCAGGTCCTCGGGGCTGTGTCCTTTACAATCCCCAGATGTGAACACATGCACCAGCTTCTCCCTTACTGTGTGGTCCCCTTCACGCACAGTTTCCACAGTCTGCACACAATGTCCCATAATTCCAGTCACAGACAAGCTGCCGTCTTCAAGGAAGTTCACCAGGACAATACTTGAGAGAAAAAGTTAAGTTCAGAGCAAATTTGAAAAGAAAAACCTCAAGAACTAGGAAGAAGCAATGGAATGGGGGTGTCACCAACCCAACAGTGCACCCCTGAACAAGAGGGAAGGAGCGATGTCCCCAGTCAAAATTAACCATTTCACCACCAAATGCTTTTACTTATTCCACAAGCATTCACTGAGATCCAAAACATCTCAACGCTTTGCCTAGCCACTCATAACAGAGCACAGCTAATGCAGTCCCTAAAGAGTGATGGGCCGGGGCTGGAGTGCAGTTCAGTGGCAGAGTGTGCTCAGCATTTACATGGGGCTGGATTTGCTCTCCAGTTCCAAACAAAATTTTTATTTTTTTTATTTTTTTGAAGGAAGATGCTGACAGGGTTTCTCTCTCTCTCTCTTTTTTTTTTTTTTTTTTTTTTTTTTGGTTTTTCGAGACAGGGTTTCTCTGTGGCTTTGGAGGCTGTCCTGGAACTAGCTCTTGTAGACCAGGCTGGCCTCGAACTCACAGAGATCCGCCTGCCTCTGCCTCCCGAGTGCTGGGATTAAAGGCGTGCACCACCACCGCCCGGCCAAGCTCTGGGTTCCTGAGAAACCCTACCTGGATATACAGGTGGAGAGTGACTGAGGAAGATACCAAACATCATCAATCTCACGCCTGCTATCTACTCATGACACATGTACATGCTCAACTACACATATACCATTCATGAATAAGCATATATACATGTGTATATACCACATATACATAAACCTGTTAAAAAACAAACTTCAAGATGAATACACCAAAGAAGACCAGAGAAAACAAAATATAAATTAAAGAAATTAAACCAAAATTCAAAAATTAGTCAGAAGATCATCAAACCCAAAAGCAGAAAGTGGTAGAGTACACACATATGTCATGTATGAGACCCTAGGTTCAAATCCTAGCAACACACACACACACACACACACACACACACACACACACACACACCATGAGAAAAGAGAAAAAAGGACCAATACTAGGACAGGAATAAGGCAGCCCTGCTTAACATACTATTAACAAATTTATGACAATAATCCTGAAAATCTGGGCAGACCTTGGTGGCAAAGTCCTATAATCTCAGCTATCTTAAGGCTAAAGCAGGAGAATCATAAACTCAAGGTCTGCTTGGGCATTTTGGTGAGACCCTACCTTTCTGGTTTTTCTTTTCTTCTTTTGAGGCAGAATCCCATTCTGTAGCTCTGCCCGGCTTGGAACTCACTATGTAGCCCAGGATAATCTCAAAGGACAGAGATGGCCCAGCCTCTGCCTCCCAAGGGCTGGGATTAAAGGCATGGCTGCCACTTCTGCTGTATCGCTTATCTTTAGGAATTAGGCCTTTTATCTTAAACGCTGACTTTTTGTTTGGGAATGTCTTCTGACTAATGTAGGTTAGGAAGACATTACCGAGTATCCATACTGTCTTCACTAAGCTTCCCTGACTTAACATCGCACATATTGAACTCATCTTTATCCTCAGCTAGTTTGCTATAGTAACCCATAGTTAAAACAGCACAGCACTTAGGCTCAAAGCAATTCTTTTATGTGAATAACCAGCCTTTCATTGATCTGCCTTCTTGTCCTGGATATCCAGGCAGGACACAGGGTTGTTACTTCCAGAAAGTAAGATGCATACTCACGACCGGCATTGGTGGTCAACGCCTTTGATCCCAGCACTCGGGAGGCAGAGGCAGGCGTGTGAATTCGAGGCCAGCAAGGTCTACAGAGTGAGTTCCAGGACAGCCTCCAAAAACAATAGAGAAATCCTGTCTCGAAAAACCAAAAAAAAGCTGGGCGTTGGTGGCGCATGCCTTTAATCCCAGCACTTGGGAGGCAGAGGCAGGCGGATCTCTGTGAGTTCGAGGCCAGCCTGGTCTACAAAGTGAGTTCCAGGACAGCCTCCAAAGCCACAGAGAAACCCTGACTCGAAAAACCAAAAAAAAAACAAAAACAAAAACAAACAAACAGCCGGGCAGTGGTGGCGCATGCCTTTAATCCCAGCACTCGGGAGGCAGAGGCAGGTGGATCTTTGTGAGATCGAGGCCAGGCTGGACCGACAGTCTCCAAAACAATACAGAGAAACCCTGTCTCGTAAAAAATAAAATAAAATAAAAACAAACAAACAAAAAAAAACGCATACTCACTTGGCAGAGACTGGGTCTGTAGTTAAAAGCCATCCTTTATACTCCTTCTTCTCACTGGCCATCACTCTGACTTCTTTATAAACGTAGTCTTCCCATTCTAAGGGACTTTTCTTCATCCACTCACTCATGGTTACCAGCTGGCTAGATCTAAAACTGTTACCAGTTTGGGTTAATCACTATGCATATTCCACACAAGCAAATGTCTTAACCCCCAATCTCCCTTCTGAAGGCAGCAAAGTCTGCAATTTGTCTCAAAATTTTAACAAGTTTTTCTCTTTCTATTTTCTCTCTTTCTTTCAAACTTATTTTTGGGTCTTTTTGAGACAACCCTGTGTAGCCCTGGTTAACAAGTTTCTTAATACAAGTAAGCAGTAATACATAGAGCTAGCTGGCAGTCCTACCTACTGAGACCAACAGTTTGAGACCAGCCTGGCTAACACAACGTGCGTCTCCAGTCTCAAAAGGAACAACAAAAAAGTCCATTCTTAGAATAAGAAATCTATATTGATTGTAAAATTCTTGAGAATGTTTTTTACCATATCCGGAAAAGGAAAAGTTATTTATAATTCAACCTTAGCTACGGTACTACCGAACGGCCGCGGGGGCGATTCTGAAACTCCTCTGGCCTGCCCATTCCCCCCTCTTCTCCCACTCCGGGTGCGGCTTTTAGTCTGGCTTTGATTTGGCCACAGACGAGGGTACTCAAACTCTCAGCTTCGCTTTCCTTAGGTAAGGGATTTCGCCCTAAGCCGAGTACAGGCGTAACTGATGCGGAGTGCGCGCCTTCCCACCTACTCTCTCTAGACCAGAGTCTCCGCGGAGGGGCGCCAGCTGCTGATTCCCACCAACCAGAGACCACGCCGCAGAAACGCACCGCTACAACCCAACCAGGCTCGCAGGCTCGCGACTCGCCTTGAGGCAGCCCGCCTGAGCCCAGCATGCCTTGCTCCTGACGTCACTTCCTTCCCCCAGAATCCTCCGCTCTGTAGTCTTTTGCCTCGGTTCTTTGGTACTGGGCGGAGTCATCAGAGCTGCAGTCTGCATACCGGGCTGTCCGAGTTCTCACTGCCACCGTGCCTTTCAAGTTGTCGTTTTTCCTTTTTCTTTTTCTTTTTTTTTTCTTTTTTTGGTTTTTCGAGACAGGGTTTCTCTGTGGCTTTGGAGGCTGTCCTGGAACTCGCTTGGTAGTCCAGGCTGGTCTCGAACTCACAGAGATCCGCCTGCCTCTGCCTTCCGAGTGCTGGGATTAAAGGCGTGCACCACCAACGCCCGGCTCCTTTTTGTTTTTCTTAATTTAAATTAGAAACAAGCTTCTTCCCACAAGTCAACCCCAGTTCCCTCTCCTCCCCTGCCCCCCACCAGCCCTAGATCCCATCCCCTTTTGCTCCCCAGGGCGGGCGAGGCCTTCCGAGGAGATCTTCAAAGTCTGTCATATCGTTTGGTCAAGTTATCTCTATAAGAGAAAAATGTTGGTACAGTGTTCTCAGAGCAAATGGGCGGGAAGATGCGTTTTTGCCAAGGATTCAACACAAAGTCCTCTGGGAAAATCTTTTTTAAATTAATTTATTTATTACTTATACAGTGTTCTGCCTACATACCAGAAGAGGGCACCAGATTGAATTGTAGATGGTTGTGAGCCACCATGTAGTTGCTGGGAATTAAACTCAGGACCTCTGGAAGAGCAGTCAGTGCTCTTAACCTCTGAGCCCTCTCTCCAGCCCCCTCTGGGAAAATCTTCAAGTCTAGAAGCTGAAGCGGATTGCACGGATTCTCCTTGGGCTCGTCTGGGGCAGTTAAAATGTTTACGCCTTTCGGACGCGCTAGCAGCTGAGTTTTCCAGACGGGTGCGGAAGCTGGAGAGACAAGCCTTTCAATGCCGGCACGCATTATCAGACTCTTTAGTGGAAAAGGACACAGTCCTTGCTTCTGCTTCAGATTTCTGGGCACGCAGTTATACTCTGATATACCGCAGACTCTTCGACACTGTGATACAAAGAGTGGTGCACGGTAGTAATGCTGGGACCTTACAGATACGGAAAAAACAAGGGCTATTTAAAAAAAAAAAAACCTCGAAGATTATCAGGGCAAGGAGCAGAAACGAGTCAGCTTTTATTACTATTTGGAATTCCATATCAAATAATCCTCAAAACCTTCACTGTTTGAATGAATGAACGCTTATATTAATGTGGCTGTCATGGATTAAGATAGATTTAGCCATTTCAAGCCTTCTGTAAATCTACAAAGAGCTAATGTAAATCCCAAGTTATTAGAGTGTGGGAAGAAATGTTTGACCTTTTAAAAACGCAGAATAAAAGAGCATTTTAAGCTTCATTCTTTACTGCAAAATAAAAAGGGTTTTTGTTTTTAACCTATGATTTTTTTTTTAGGGTCCTCAAAATGAACTACTTTTCCAGCTTTTTTTTTTTATATTTTATTTTCCAGTTTAATTAACCTATGTTTTCTTTTGAGACCTATTTTTGTTCTTGCGAAACAAGGTCACTCCCCTATCCTTTCCAAAATATCAAAAATTTAAGTTGTATTTGGGCCACACTTGGCACACAGGCCTTTAACCCAGCATTTGGGAAGCAGAGGTAGGGGAGTCTTTGAGAGCTCAAGACCAATTGGCCTACAGGTGGAGTTCAAGCCAGGCATGTCACAAAAAAAAAAAAAAAATCCAATTTACTGTGTAGCAAGTATAAAGTGTTGTAGTTTTTTCTGTCCTATTAATACCAGCCAATACAAGTGTCTCAGTAGGGGAGGTCCCCCGACCCCCACCCCAATCAGTACAAGACACACCGGGACATCAAATTATCAACACACAGGAAATGTATTACCCCAGAGGAGCAAGGGGGCGGGAGGCTGCCAAAGGCAACCAGCTAGCAGATGTTCCTGCAGCAGTGGGTTTTCAGCGGGAAGGGGACGGGCGGTCTGTGCTAGGTTGGATGTATTAGCCAAATAATGAATTTTCATTGCTAAACATTGATGTTTTGTCTCAGGAATGAGTTAGTGGCCAAATGAGGGAATGGACCTTAGGGGGCTAGCTTTAGGACTGTAATCTAAGGATTTTTAGCAAGGGGAAAAGGGTAAAAGGCAAAACCTATTGTGGGCTGTTTGTCATGCTCAGGCCTGGTAGAGCCCTGCAGTCCCTTCATATGTAATGCTTGGTCATCACGAATATGTTGACAAGGTGATGGAATGGCAACCCTGAAAAAGTGTTTGCATAAAAATAAGCCCAGCGCCTTTAATCCCAGCACTCGGGAGGCAGAGGCAGGCAGATCTCTGTGAGTTCGAGGCCAGCCTGGTCTACAAAGTGAATTCCAGGACAGCCTCCAAAGCTACAGAGAAACCCTGTCTCGAAAAACCAAAAAAAAAAAAAAAGCCCAGCTTGAGTGGTGTTCATTTGTAATCCCAGGGCTGGGAAGTGGAAACAGAGGAGCTCTGGGGCTCAATAGTCTAATTGTCAAATTCTGGGCCAATGAGATCCTGGCTCAAAAGATAGGTGGACTTCCTGAGGATGACACCTGAGGCTGCCTGAGACAGGCACCGTACACATATACACAAGAGGAGAGACATGGAGAAAGAAACAGAAAACAAATTTAGAAAAAGAATGTTAGGAAGCTGGAGAAATGGCTCAGTGGTTAGGAGCACTGGCTGTTCGGGATTCAGTCCCTAGCACCCACATAGTGGCTCACAATTGACTACAACTCCAGGAGCTGACACCCTTCTGACCACCTGTGTAGTGATCAGATATACATGCAAGCAAGTCACCCATATACATAAAATGATCTTTATTTTTCAAGAGGATACAATGGGCTTAGGTGATGGCATGGGAACCTGACTTCATACCCAAGAAACCAGATGAGCCCCTGCAGTCTGGTGAGATGGCTCTTGCCTCCCTATTCCTGATGACCCGAGTTTGATCTCTGGGACAGTTGTGAAAAGAAAGAATTAATTCCCTAATTCCTACAAGTTCTGTGACTTCCAGAAGTACACACTGGAGAACACACACACACAAGAAAGTGTTTCAGGTTGGGTGTGGTGGTGCACACCTTTAATGCCAACAGTAGGGAGGCAGAATCCAACCTGGTCTGCATAGTGAATTGCAAGCCAGCCAAGGCTACCTAGTGAGACCCTGTCACAAAAACAAAACAAACAAAACCAAAGTAGAAGGTTGTGAGATGGGTCAGTGTGTGAAGTCTTGTGAAAGCATGAGATCCTGATTTTGGATCCTCTATGCCCACATACAAGCCTTGCATGGCAGTGTGCTTCTGTAACCTCAGGGGTTGGGGGCCTTGACTGGCAGACTGCAGGCCCACTAGCCAACCATTTCAGCCAAAGCAGCAAGTTCCTAGTTTTGTAAGTTCTGTCTCAAAAAAAAAAAAAAATACAGTGGGAGATGCATGTAATGGCGCACGCCTTTAATTCCAGCACTTGAGAGGCAGAGGCAGATGTATTTCTGAGTTCGAAGCCAGCCTGTTCTACATTATTGAGTTCCAGGAAAGCAAGGCTACATGGTGAGACCCTATCTCAATAATAAATGTAAATAGCCGGGCCTTGGTGGCCCACGCCTTTAATCCCAGCACTAGGGAGGCAGAGGCAGGCGGATCTCTGTGAGTTTGAGGCCAGGCTGGACTGACAGCCTCCAAAACAAAGAAACCCTGTCTCGTAAAACCAAAAAAAAAAAAAAATGTAAAGAAGTGATTGATGGCAACCTCTGTCTGGCATGTGTGCCTGCCTGGCCAGCACACATTCATGCCTGCATGTAACACACCAAAAGTGGAGGACTGACCAAGGAAGATGACTCACACTGACCCCTGGCCTCTGTGTGCTCACGCACTACATGTTCACATGCATGTCCTCACACAGTGAACACGCACAGAAAAGACTGCTATAGGGGCTGCAGAGATGCCTCAGTGGTTAAGAGCACTGGCTGCTCTTCCAGAGGACTCAGATCCAACCCCCAGCACCCACATGACAGCTCACACCTGTCTGTATCTCCGGATCTGACATCCTCACACAGACATACCTGCAGACAAAACCCCAATGTACATAAAGTAAATAAATCATTCTTAAAAAGAAAATATTGCTTTAGTTTTGTTGCTATGTTTTCTGTAAGAACTGGAATTCTTTTTTTAGGTGGGTCTCATTTAGCCCAGTTTGACCTTTAACTTGTTGTACAGCTGAGGATAGCCTTGAATTCTTGATCCTCCAGCTTCTACTTCCTAAGTACTAGGATTACAAGTATCCATTACCTGCCAGGCGGTGGTGGCCTTTAATCCCAGCACTCTGGAGGCAGAGGCAGGCAGATCTCTGTGAGCTTGAGACCAGCCTGGTCTACAAGAGTTAGTCCAGGACAGCCTCCAAAGCCATAGAGAAACCATCTCAAAAAACCAAAAACCAACAAAAAAACAACAAAACAAAAACAAAAAAAGAAAACAAGTATCCATTACCATGCATGGTTAAAAACCGATTTTTTTCTTCTTTTGTCTAGCAACCCTCTAGCCTCAACCTCTTGAAAAGTGGGTATTGTATGTTTATGTTTTTTTAATAATTTATTTTTAGTTTTTGTACATTGGTGTTTTCCCTGCAGGTATGTCTCTGTGAGGGTGTGAGATCCCCTGGAACAGGAGGTAGAGGCAGGAGGATCTCTGTGAGTTCCAGGCCAGCCTGGTCTACAGAGCGAGTTCCAGGATAACCTCCAAAGCCACAGAGAAACCCTGTCTTGGGGAAAAAAACAAACAAACAAACAAAAAAAACTTGAATCCTCCTGCCTCAGGCTGTGCTC